ACAGTGTTTAGAAAAAAGCTTTAAATTCTTATCGCCATTTTTATTTTTAAAGAATGACTGTGAAGTAGCTGAGAAAAATATTTTTTCTTTTTAAAAAGTAAATCTAAGTTGAAATTAGCTTGAAGAAGCCTAGAACTTCTTGGAAATGGTTTGTTTTGTGAGTTATTTTGTATATTTAAGCTTTCTGTAAATATTTAAAACCGAAAATCGTTTATATTTGTACTTAAGTATTTAAAATTCAGCGAGCGCATTACTTTTATGACAGGTTTTACATTACTTGTCACAATGTATTTAAAGTCGCACGTCTCAATTCGCGGTTTCTAAACGATTAAACATTGCGCGAAAAAGTCAGAAATATTATATCTAATTTCGCCATGTTGCAATTTTGACAGTTTATATTTTGTAAGCCATTAAATTTGAAATCTATTAGTATTAAGAGAATTGCGTCTTATGTTTGTAACGCTTTAGTATTTTGGTTTTAAAATAGCATTACAAAGAAAACTATCATAGACTATAAATTATCTAAAAACTGTCTACAACACTAAATAAAAATTGTCTACATTCTACAAATGGTCTTGTAGCATTCTAAAAGGGTTACTTGAGAAAAAAGATAAGAATCACTCTTAACACTACCTACAGATAATTTCACAAAGTACTCTTGTGATCTACTAATAAAGTTGTGTCCACTTTTACTTTAAATTATCTAGAAACCTTCTTCGAGATATCTTGAGAGAATTTGAACTCTTAAAATATTCAATCGAATTAAATTCTATTAGATATGTTATAGTATATATTTAGATATGGGTGTGTTGCTTGGGTTCTGGCCTACATCAATTATATTCGTCTCTGTCCAGAGATACTTCTGCATTCATATAATATTATGAACCTGATAGATTTGTAGTCAAAGCTTAAAAGAAATGTAAGATGGCGTCGAGTTTGTAGCTCGCTCGAAGCGTCACCATTACGTGTAGAACGGTATCGGTAGTCTTGGCATTAAAATTAAGTTAATAAATCTATAACCAATAATCTAAATTAAGCTGATTCATATAATGTAGAATAACCGTTATTATAGAAGAATTATATATTTTCGGAGAGTTACTATTTCTTTTGGTTTAGTATATTAGTCGGAAGTACTATCAGCAGTTATAGTGTTTTGTTTTAGTGTTGAATTTTATCAAAGAGTATCAGTGCCGTAGTACTGTGGACAGGCGTAACAGTCTATGCCTATTGGGAATGAGCTAGACAGGCAGACAATATTGAGTGTTTACCAATGATATTTATCCATAGTTGGGGAATTAACGTAAAGCCCCTAGCAAAGTCGCTATTATTGCACAATACATTTCAGTTTGCTTTGACCGAGGTTCCTTCTGTTTACTATTTGTAATTATTATACTACTAAAAAGAAATACAAATTAAGTAAAAGAAAAAAAATACAATCGAGTTGTCGAAATTATTGACGTTACTTTCCTTGCGGAAAGGCAAAGTTCTTAAGACCAGGCAGTCAAGTACATAGATACCGAAATTCATATGGTAACCTTGGTAACTGTTATAATCATATTATACATACTTTGTTATTGTGTAGTCAGAACACTCTGTTGCTTATCAATCTATGTTTTATGTTTTGTCTTGTTTCAACGTGTGTCATTATGCTTTCAAAACAATATTGACATAGTGAAATTTTGTATACTATTTCGCGATTATCAAATATTATAATGCACAAATTAATCAAAAACCACAACATTACTTACCGAATCAAGGTGAATAATTTAAAACTTTAAATTTATGTTCACATAATTAGTTAAATAGCGAAATATGAGCAACATGCCGATGTAAATTAGTTTTCGAAAACGACCGCATCTGCGTCGCCATCTTGAATGTTTGACAACCAACTAAATGATGTGGAGCGTCTTCACCGCACACAGCGTGTGTATGGAACGCCGCATCTACTTTGCTAGTACATAGATATCGTTGGGAAGTAGTCTTTTTCCACAGAATTGTAATTTGAATTGTTTGCTAAATATGATTAATTTTGTCCGTGTATTCTGTGTTTATTTTTCAGTAACTCATTTTGACGCAGCTCAGTATTACAGTAAGTCACAGTACACTGTAAATTCATTTCTCGGAAACTACATTATTTCCTCACATGTACACAAAAAACAGTTGGAAAGAGTGGGAGGGAAAATTTGCATAAATTGTTTTTTTGGGTACTCTGAAAAAAGTATTTGCAAAATTGACCCAGGTAAAATTTTATACCTATAATTATACCTATACATATAGTACGGATGTTAAAAATTCCAAGTTTATATTTTATTCTCCTTTATTACACATTAAACCAAATCATATTATGAACTTCGGCGAAAATAAAAACACATTAACAGTAAGGGCGCGTTCCCACAATGTCGTGACGACAGATTGTCGTGCAGTTTACAGTGTCATGGCTTGTATATTTAAATGAAGTTGTTCACATATAGCAAAACACGATTAACTGTCGTTCACGATTTTTTATCGTTACAACGACAAACTGTCGTTACAGCGGGAACAGCTCGAACGACAGTCGTTAGACGATAAAAAACGTCACGATAAAATCGTGACGACAGATTGTCGCAGCTTCTATTGTCGTCACGTTTTATTTATCGCTGTCCGCACGTATTCTGCCCCCTGCCCTCCCCTTTCGTACTCCGCGCCCTCTGCTCGCTTTGCAGTAGCGTTGGGTCGTAGCCAGAGATGGGCAAGCGCCCGGGTTTTGACTCGACGCTTTGTTAACGCAGGGTTTAAATCGGGCTAAAACCCGAAATCGAGGGCAAAAACTATTTACGTCTAAATATTTGTTGTGAATTGAGTTTTGTTCTGTGAGCCTTTTCATATTCAAGTATTGCTTATTTGGCAGTAATTGTTTCAGACGGAGATCGAGAGTAGACCCCCAGGTTTTGACAATACCGAAATGAAAGCAACTTCGTATATTGTTTGACATAACCCTAATGGAATTCTTTTTAGTAGCGTTGGATGTACCCAAAACTTTCTTTTCTTTGTTTGCTTTCTCTTCCGCATTTTTAAAAAGTAATACATCATTAAAATTTCGTCTTCACCCATTTCGAGCGGACACACACTACCGGCTTCCAAAAGAACATACAAGCGATTGCAGTGCATCAAACGATTCTGTCGTGCAAACGACAAGAAGGCTGTCGTGAAACGATAAATTGTCGTCACGATCTAGTGGGAACAGCTAGTCACGATAGTCGTTCAACGATAAAAAATCTTCTAGGACAGATAGTAGTGATATGGGTAAAGGCTAGACACGACAGTCGTCCAACGATAATAAAACGTGACGACATAGTGGGAACGCGCCCTATGTCTTTTTTATATCCTACTGGACTTTTCACATACAATAAAACAAAGAGCCGTCACCAAAAGTTTGTTTCGCGATTATGCTGAAAATGGTTTTTACACTTAAAGTTTATAGTGTTAAGGTACTTAATAATCGGGTTTATTTTTTAAATGTCTTTGAGTAGATCTCAATAATTGAGGCCGCTAATTCAAAGCGAGGTCGACGATGAAGCTTTAATAATATATAATTTACCTTTCGCTTAACGGTGTGCAAGTTTTATGTACGAGTACAAGGAAATAAATATATATCCCTACGGTTTCGTTTTGCATTTTGGATACGTATGAAATATGTACCTAAGTACTTGTTAGACAACAATTTAAAGCAAAAATCAATCTTTTTAAGTCATTGCACGAGGTTATTGTTGTTGAGCACTAAAATCGGAAATGTAAAAATTCGTGGAACAACAAAAGAAAACTATAGTAATTTTCCAAAAACGCTTAGGTTTTAAAAATCCGTCTTAGTAAGTGTCGAAGTAACTCTTCATCGTTTTTGTTATACTATAAAATAGTGTAAAACATGTGTAAAACGTAAAAAGTATTACAGTGAAGAAAATTGTTAAGCAGATATATGATAGATTATACCACACCTTGATGCAGAAACAAATAAATACTATCTACTTACTAATTTGCAATATCGCAAAAAAATTAGTTTATTAATAATCTCAGTACAGAGTACTAATAAAACTGACCTCAAAAGTTCGTGGAATTACATCTAGGTACCAAGTTTTCTTGAAATCGGTTACCAAAAAGTGCGCGAAACCGGGTTAATTGTCTAGTAATAATTTCACCCTTAGAGGTGGAATATTTTCTTGTTCTTCAAATTAACCACGAGACCACAACTAGGCTCCTTTTTCGAAGTCGGTCAAAAAATGTAACTATGTCACATTTCAAGTGCCAGAATGATACCATTCTGGCATTTGAAATGTGACACAGTTTTGTGTATGTATACACACAAAAGTCCATACTACACAAAGCTTGACAGTAGCGGTGGGGCGTGGTCAAACTTTCATAGTAAAAACAAGCGTTGTTGCCAGCCGCCTTGTGGTATAGCACTAGCTTGGAAGTAATAAGTTTGTATTGTTTAGCACCGATTGCCACGTGGAAATTCCCCACTTAACTGCACGAGACGCAAACCTTGAGGAAATATTATCTAGTCACGTCCCACCTCTTGATTAATAGTGCTTTCTTATCTACTTGTTGAGTAAATCATTTTCTTAGAACACAGAGTAATTATATCGGTCTATGAAAGAAAGTTAAACGATATTGGATTTTGTACGCATACATATAAAACGCCACTAATGTCAAGTGCTTTTTTTTTATTTTGAGTCTGGTCGTAAGCGACACGCCTGTCCATAGTAATTGTAGTGCCACTCTGATCTGAAGGGCACTGCCACTGCGGCCGCCACCCTGAGATAAAAGTTTAAAAGTCCCATATGCCTATAATTTTACCAGTAAGTACACCTACTTACCCTTTAAAGTAGGAGGGCAGCAATCTCACACTACTGCTTCCCTAGACGAACTCTTTCACAACTTTCACAAGGGTCTCTACTACTACTTTATTGGTAAGTAGTTGAAAATTAATTTAATAAAGGTATTCCCTCTTTGTTACAGATGATGAACGAAATCAGAACAAGACCTATAAAATTGGTAAGTAACTCTGCCGCGACTGACGAAAATGATTTCCTTGTTTCAGAGCTTGTTGCTCAGAGCTAAAACTATTAAATGATGAAAGTTGTGATTATTAACAATTATGAAATATCGAGTTCTTAGGTTTTCGCGATTGTTACACATAGGAAATGAAACCATTTTTCCGGATTTAAATCGCGTATATTTGTTTTTTCAAACAAACCGACGTTTCGGGCCCTTTACAGGTCCCATGGTCTCGGTTGACTAAGGTGGTACAGTCTTCAACCAGTTATGTTTAATATTAGGGGTTAAAGTATGAAATTGCCGTTTTATTGCAATAG